CCCCCCCAAGGGTTAAAGCTGCTCTAATTCGCCTTTTGATGCCACTGAAATATGGTTTACGCATCAAGCTACACACTAAATTTTGTTTGTGTTTTATCTGTGTGGTGCAGACTGTGTGTCTGATCAGATTATTTGGAAAAATAAGTCAAACCCACTGCTGCTAAAGGTCCACAGTGGGAGGGAGGGAGCGTGTAGAAAGAAAGGAAATGAGAAGATGGAAACATAAAAAAAAAGATTGTTTGTCTAGAACTACAACAAGCTGGTCTGACAGGTTAAACAAGTTAATTCATGACTAGTTTTTCCTCTAAAGTTTGCAATCTTGTGTGCAAGCTTACTCTATAATTTAAAGTTAACTTTTTTATCTACAAAAACATATTACATGTGAATGTCTCAAGTCTTCTGCAGCTCTAGCATCAATACATGAAAGTTAAAAAAAAAATAGGATCTATTCTTATGGAAGTGTAGAATCAGACTGGTTAGGTACAAATACTGTCACATGGAACGTTCTTATCTCCAGCTGTTAAATGTTTGCTTTCTGGCTCTTGTCTCAGCGGGACTGGGGAGGTGAAGTGTCCTGCTCTGTCATTGGATGAGACTCGCTCTGCTGTGCTGCCACTGGCTGTCTGCGCAGGAACAGAGGTCAGTGGTAGCAATGTCTCGTATGTGCCTGTCTGGACTGGCCTTCTCCACAACAAGAGAAGCTCTAACTCTGGATTAAGTGTGTGAACGTTTATGAAGCGTCCACACTACTGTGAACCGTTTTTCTTCCGTATGTTTTTAGGCATCTTTCTCGTCTCGCAGTTTTTAAGCTATTTCGACAAATCATCAAATCATTCAGCTCTTTCAGGACAATCCTGCTATGACTTTGGTAATATTTTGGTAACTTTTTCAAATATTTAGCCTTTCCTAACACTTTTTTCCCCTCATAGAAAATGAACTGAGCTCATTTTACATCCTTCAAATCTTTAAATGTGTTTACAACCTTTTACTGCTCCTTTCACATTTTGTTCTGTTCAGCTTACTTGTGCAAATTTAAACTTTTTTCAGCTCTTTTCAGTTAATTTGAGCTGTTTTATGATCCTTTCAGATTCTTTCAGCTAACTACAACATTTTTGTGCTTCTAACTTCTTTCAGCTAATGTCACCTTGTTATCCTCTTCTCAGCTTATTTCTCCAAGTTTCAGCTTTTTCTACTATTTTAGCTACTACCAGTATATACAGTAGTGTGTATAGCTGTTTTTTATGCTAATTTAAGCTTTTCAGCTAATTCCACATTTTTTGTACCCATTTCAACATTTTTCAGCCCAATTTAGCAAAAATGCACTCTTTCCATTCTTGGAATTGCAGCTTCTCTCTGCTTTTATAGCTACGTTTCAGCTGTTTTTTTGGCTAATTTCAGGTTTTTCACATAATTTCCATTTTTTTGCGATAATTTCTGCTTCTTTCAGCAAATATGTTCTTTCTTCTGCTCATTTAATCTTATTCTAACTTTTCAACTACTTTTTTTATTTATTTTTTTTAGCATTTTTAGCTAATTTAAGCCATTTTCAGATAAATTCAAGTTTTTCATGGTGATTTCTTCTGCTCCTTTCAGCTTTTTTCTGCTACTTTTAATCTGTTAAGTGCTAAATTTAGCTTTTTCAGCTAATTTCACATTTTTTAGTTCATTTCAGCTTCTTCCACTTCCTCCTGTTAGTTTAAGCTTCTTTCTGGATTTTCAGCTACTTTTCAGCTAAACTTCGATAATTTCAGATTTTTTTTTTAAGCTAATTTCCTTTTTTCCCTCATTTCTGCTTATTTAAATCTAATTCAACAAACGTTATTTCTTCTTTCTTCTGCTAACTTAGGCTTGTTCGTCCATTTCAGCTAAATTTCAGCATGTTTAGTTAATTTCAGCTGTTTTTCAGGAACATCTTCAGCATTTACACTGCATTTTTTTTGCAGGAAATGCAATTTCTCTAGTGCAGATATACACTTCTCGCTGTGGAAACCCTGTCGTCCAGCTCTACCACATCTCTTATTCTACAGAAAATGTTGCATTGTGGGAAATACTAACAGCGCTTTGTGCTTATCTTCAGCCAGGATCTGATCGTTGGGCTTCAGAGAGTACCTGCAAATTATCAAAGAGAGACAAATGGTGTTAGTTTCTTCAAATAAACAGAAAAACACATTTTGCAAATGTTAAAATACACAAAGTACCGAAAAACATCTGACGAGGACCTAAACGCTCTCAGTCCAAGTCCAGTAATTCTAATTAAAGTCTAATTTCCTTGAACGAAAGAAAAAGGTACGGTGGAGATTAAAGGGCAGTTTTAGTCCTACTTTAATGAGGCCAAGTTAAGAGTTTTGGTTGACCAGTTCAGCTTTAATCCAGAAGTTTATGCAAGGGCCACCTGAAAGAACACTGAACTGGAAACCAATGGAGCCCATTGCCCCTTTGCAAGTTGATGCAATTTAATTATTCAAGGGTGAGAAGTGTTTTGACAGGGATTCCATATCTCAAGAAAAACAACTCTTTCTTTAAAGCTGACGATGTGAACTTAAGGAAAAACAGGAAAGCAGCACTGATTATTTACCCACAGGTAGGACAGACTAATAGTTTATCTTCAAGATATATTAAAGTGCTGCATAAGCTGACATGAAGCTCCACTGACATGGATTATTAGAGCAGCAGGGCTTATTTTGTCCTTAGTATCTTCTTTCTGAATTGATCGCTCGAGTCTTAAAAAAAACACTCTTCCCATTATAATCTCCCCGCCGCCACAGGTGTGAACGAAACGATAAATGTTCGCGTCTGGTTTTGCTGATTCTGGATTTACCTTTCATTTTGCCTACTTAGCGTTTGAATTGAGATATAGAGCGACAATCAATAACAAGGACAAGGATGCAGGTCAAACTTACTTGTCCAAGAAGTCTTTATCCACCACAGCTGAGATGTCCAATAAAGGGTTTCCCATCCCAAAAAGCAAATTAGGGCTGAAACAAGCAAAAAAAAAAAAAGATAACTAAAAACAGACTGATTATGTTTTTAGATGAAAATGACAACAGTGAGTCATTTATCCTCAGAAACGTCACATCTAAAGGAACAAAAGACTTCTATGCTGGCTCCGGGAAAAGACTGAATGTGCTCATTTTCAGCTTTCACATGACTTCTGTTAACTTAAAACTTTAAGCCTTTAAACGGAGAAAGAGTTCATTAGAATCGCACCGTTGAACTGGAATGAAAAAAACATCCCTGACTCATCAAGAAACGTTCCAAAAAAGATGATGAATGTGGCTTGCGGTGAGGATCTGGGCAATCAGGCGTGCATGTTATGACACTCGCAGCGAGGCAACACGAGGACACAGCGGTGTCTGGGCGCGCTTCTGCTTTTTGAGGACAAAACCATCCGCAGGGCTCGACCCTTCTGAGAATTAATACCAAGACAAATCAAGATCGAGCTCTTATGATTCAAACACAGACCCTGCAGACCGACAACACGAGATTGTTTGGCGTCCAAACATCCCCTCTCAGAACCTGTCTGGCACATCAGTAACGCACTGCAGACGGGGAGTGAAACCACAGGTAAGGATTTAGATTAGATGTGCACTACGCTCCAACATAAATGAGGTCACCACAATCTTGCAAGCGCTCGTGGGAAAGCCCCAGATGCAAGTCTTTGAGCCTCCATATGAACATGTGCCATATTTCTGCCCTTCTTATACCCGAATAGGAATTACGAACAAGGAGGAAAATTAAAAGCCAAATGCATCTTTAGAGCAGATGCCACACCCTTACTATTATCTCCTCCATGTGCCAGTGTGCAGGCTGATGATTAATGGGCTTGTGCAGCCAATTCCACAAACCCATAACCCCATGCCTGCCTTCACCATCACCTTTCCAGGCTGAATGTCAGTGCGCTCTCTTACCTGGCAGCAGACATCATGTGCCTCCTCTGTGCGCTAGACACTGGCAGACCTGTTGAGCAACCTAAAACCAGCTCTGAAAAGGGCTTCACATCCAAAAACAAAACCCAACAATTTCAGCTCAGCGTGCGGGCAGATCGATTTTCTCCTGCAACCACAGCTCCTCCTACTGGAGACAGACCGATTGGAGGCATCTGGAGGAGGAAGGGCCACGGCAGACAGCCCTGCTGGTGATTGGCTTGTTCACTGCTTCAAAGCTTTATTACGACGCGAGGAGTCTACTACTGCGGAAACTGTGAAGTGATCATGAACACAGCGAGGAGGTGGAAAAGCGCCTGAAAACAATGAAGAATGCAGATCACGTGACCACTTGTGTTGTTTTGGATTGCTGGTGCAGGATGGCTCGTGCATGCTTCCAGTGCGACTGGATGGACAAAAATCCCAAACAGCATTTCTTTCTGCAGATTTTACAATATGCAAGACCTATTCATTCATTCAACCTTTATTTATTGACACAACTACCGGAGCCCTCAGCTCAAAGTTAAACTAAACTCCAGTCTTTGTTAAACAATAACAAAACAGACTTTGCACGTGTGCCGGTTTAAACATCAATTGACGGACTCGATGAACTCGGTATCACGTTTAAGATATGCACATGTGCGCTGTCAGCTGAGCGCTGTCGCGTCTTGTCCCTTCAAAGAACGAGGCAGAACTCTTATTATCAACATTATCTCCAACGCGTTCAGTTACCTTAGTTTGACAGCAGGAGCCTTTTTGGTCGGAGACTTTGTCTTCTTGTTCTCCGAAAGTTTAGGTTTCTTTGCTTTTGGTTCATCAGAAGCCATGTCTGTACCGGTCCGAGCACGCTTCGGCTGCTTTTGGTCTCAGGGGGAAAATGCGGTCAAGACATAAAAAAGGGCCTTTGGCCCCTGAGTAGAGACTTGCAGGCTGCAGACTACAAGCGTTCTTCCTCAGGCGTTTTGGTTGCACTGAAAAAGGGAATGTCATTTCAAGAAACTAAAATAACATTAAATAGAAATGTGATTCGTAAAAAATAATCTAAAAAATAAAATCGCGCATACGAAATGTTACTGAAATAATTGGGATCTTGAAGTAACAAGTAATATTACTTTTCACAAGATATTTTTTGCTGTTAAAATGTAATTTATGGATACACTGCCATCATTGCACTCTGTTGTAATTTGCACCACAAGCAAAATGTTAGTTTTCAACAGTTTTTTTTTTAATGAGATAATAATAATGATTTTAATTTTCGTAAATTTGAATTTGTCTGATACAGGCAGTTTTCCTCAGGGATCCGTAAAGTAACTTTATGTTATGTTTATATATTTTTATATTTTATTTCCATAAGTAAATTTTTGTTTATAAAAGTAACTGAATAAAAGTATTCAAATGTTATTTTAGACTGTTAGTGCCATCATGCTGATTTTGTCTAGTAATATTATTTTTCAGCCTGACACAGTTGTCTTATTCTATATTGTGAACAATTTTTAACAAAAACTACACTATTTTGTATTCACTTGCAATGAATCAGAGATAAATCTTTAATTAGTGATATACATTATGTATTATTATACTGTGTATATTATGTATACATTACTATATATTATTATATTATATTATATTCTACAGGATACATATGTTTCTACGTTGTTACTGGGTTGCGTATTTGCCAAAAAAAGAAGGTAAAATTAGTCTGTTTCATAGACAAAACGAAGCTATCGAATTCCTGCAAGACTGTACGTAGGGCAATAAAACCTAATTTCTGACGCGCATCTGAGTGTATAGCTGCCCCAAAATACTGCCTGATTAAAAAGACAGAAATTTAGTTTGACAATAGTCAGTCACCCTAACACCAACTTTATTCATCTCACATTACGACTCCACATTGTAGTAAAATTATAAAAGTTTTACTTTCACAGCTGGATAATTTTTACTTTTGATTCGGTGTGTTTACGTGGGCAAAAGTCAACAGGCGTCTTCTAGGCAACTCAGTTCTGTCCTTTTAGAATAGACATCAGAAATCTTGCAACTGGAGCCAGCTGGTAAAAGTTTTTGCTTATCAGTTTTTTTAAAGCTTTGTATAATTGTGAAAGTCGTAACTGTTCATCTTATTTAACTTTTAGCTTGTACCGATGTGCAAGGCGCCCAGTGTCAGGTTGTTAACCAAACGGTGAAATTATCTAAAGTCTAAGTTAATGTTTATCACAGCTTCTGCTGCTGTTTCGCTTTCACGTTTCGTCGTTTTGAATAGGACAAAAGTGAAATATACAGACAACACTGCTGATAAATTATCTTTTTTTCAGTAACAATCAATGACGACAGCAAATTCTTTGTTGCAGCTGAGATGATCCACAGCCTCTTCCTCATTAATCACTCTGGAGACATCTTCCTGGAGAAACATTGGAAGAGTGTCATCAGCAGGAGTGTGTGTGATTACTTCTTCGAGGCCAGGGAGAAGGCAGAGGGTCCAGAAAATGTGCCCCCTATCCTACAGACCCCACACCACTTTCTCATCTCTATTTACAGGGGCAAACTCTTCTTCCTGTCTGTTGTCCAAACTGAAGTCCCCCCACTTTTTGTCGTTGAGTTCCTGCACAGAGTGGCAGACACATTCCAGGTGCTTTTGTCTTCCTTTTTCTAGCAGGGGTTTGATTTTTCCAATATATATATATTTTTTGCACATTGATGCAAAACTATGTGCAACTGCTTGGTGTTCTGTTAAAGAAGGACATGCTTGAAGTAGTTGAAATGATTTATGGTTCATCAGATTTCAATATTCGTTGTTATTTGTTCCATTCGACAGTTTTAGATTAACTTGAACTGGGGAAACAAGGCAAACGTTTGCCAATGTTTTGTTGTGTTTGAAAACATGAACAAACTTTTATCAGTTGTATATTGCAGATTAATTAAAGGGATTCAAAATAGTGGCAACCATGTTGTTTTTCCGGATCAGAGATGATTACGGTGGTGTAGCTTTTCCCACACGTAGAAATGAGTAGTTACTTGTATATCTTTGCCTTTTAGGTTGCACTCCTAATGTAATTGTTTATGTAGCACATGGTTCAAGTTCTTTTGTCTGGGGAACATACCCACACTGATCAAATCGCTTCAAATCTGGGAAAAAAATATTTTTAAGAACAAAACCTAACAGCATTGCTTTGTCCCAAAACCTTAAGGGATGATTCTCTGTAACTGAGATCTTGTGGGCAAAGTAATTTTGACTCAGCTAACTGCACATGGTTCCATTTATAATGAATAACCACGGGCATGTCCTCCATGCTTGTAGTCTTTCAGTGAAGCATTGTTGTTTGGATAATAGTGACTCTTCTGCGGAGTCTTTTCTCAAACGTCTGTCATGAAATTTAAGTCACTAGGGACTAATATATTCCTTACGTAAACTCATCGCTATTGTCTACTCAATTTCCAACTTAGTCCTAACTCTTTCTGGAGTCCTCAGGATTGTGTTGTGTTGCATAAAGATCATCTTTTAGCCCCCAGGAGCGATATCACCAGATAAAGGTTCCAATAAAGTAGCTAAATGTTGGATTAATTAATTATCCTATCATCAACTCATTACTCAAATAAGCCACTCTGATACGAGAGAATTTTTCAACCCAGTTTTACTCCTTGCAAGGGGGGTCAAAGTTAATACACAGGCTTACACAGATGTTACATTGAAGCTCCAGTTGTAACGTCTGTTTATAATGCTTATCAGACAGAGGCGAGGTCAAAACAACCTCTGCTTTCCAGCTTAGAGGCCTTGGAGTTTATTAGGTGCGCAGGCTCCTCTCTGACAAAACAACTCTTAACTTACACACGTGGTTCTACGTTAATTTAACATTAGTAAGTGATACATCCATGACCTTTACCTAAATTCCCCTGACACGAAGAAATGAGAACATTCACACAATCAAAGCAAGGAAAAAATCATTTGCCATGAACGCTCGGTTGCTTCAAGATTTAAGGAGCCAAAGGAAGAAAAAATTTTAAACTACTGTGCAATTTTAATTTTTAAGCAGGTATCCAATGTTGTGTTTGTGTTGTTCGAGCATACTGACCTGCAGGTGAACTGACGAGTTAAAATGTAAAAATAAACCGTTTTTCAGTGTTGTTGTAGAACGTAATGTGCACAAAGGAAGTAGGCGAGCACATTGTGTTGACACATTTCAGATGCATTTGTTTTGTAAAGGTGAAGTGGCAGCCCAGTGTTGATCCATTAGTGAAAACATTTACAGGTTTTCAACTCAGGTCATAACTATTATACTAGTACACAATGCCGACTGCTTTCTAGGAACTCTAATTTAGTGTTATTTATTTATTTATGTAAGTCTTGGATTGATTTCAGTGATCCCCTATTGTCCACAGGATTACTTTGGAGAATGTTCAGAAAGTGTGATCAGTGACAACGTGGTGATTGTTTACGAGCTGTTGGAGGAGATGTTGGACAACGGGTTTCCGTTGGCGACAGAGTCCAACGTCCTCAAGGAGATGATAAAGCCTCCCACCATCCTGCGGTCGGTCGTCAATACGCTGACAGGTAAACAAGAGTTCAGCTGAAGAAGTGTGGACGGCTGACTCTTCACCTGTAAACTAAGTAAGTCAGATCTTAATGGTTGACATAATGCATTGTTGTCTTTTGTGTGTTTTCCAGGAGGAAGTAATGTTGGCAATGTACTACCAACAGGACAGTTATCTATAATTCCATGGAGGCGGGCTAGTGTGAAATACACCAATAATGAGGCATATTTTGATGTGATAGAGGAAATTGATGCTATTGTGGACAAATCTGGTAAAAACGTGTTATGTTATTACAAAGATTCTGTTCTTCACATTAAATATTAGTATTTTCTGTAAGCGGATATAATCTTGTTTTAGGTACAACGGTGTTTGCAGAGATCCAGGGTGTGGTTGAAGCATGCGTCAGGCTCTCTGGGATGCCTGATCTCACCCTGTCCTTTATGGTTGGTTTTCTTTCAGCTCTGTGTTTTCCTCTTTCTGCATTAGTACTCTGCTTGTCCAGTTTTCTGAATGTAAAATTTATTCTTAATTGGTAAAAGAATCCCCGGCTTCTGGACGACGTGAGTTTCCACCCATGCGTGCGGTTCAAGCGCTGGGAGGCGGAGCGCGTCCTGTCTTTCATCCCGCCGGATGGAAACTTCAGACTCATGTCGTATCACGTCAGCTCTCAAAAGTAAGCACAAACATCAACCTGTTGAGTTTCTTATTTAAGAATCCTTCATATTTTTTTGATGACCTGTATACTCTTATGTGATTGAATGTCGTGACAAAAGTAAGATCGTCTTCATTTTGCTTTGATGTCAACAGAAATTACGTTTTCAGCTTGATTTTATTTTTCCTGTAACCGCTTCCTGTTCCCACCTGCTTGATTTGATTGAGGCCACTTCTGTGTCTGGCTCCTTTTTCAGTCTTGTAGCCATTCCGGTGTATGTGAAGCAGAACATCAGCTTCTTAGATACAGGATCTTGTGGTCGTCTTGAAATCACGATTGGACCTAAGCAGACCATGGGGAAGACGGTGGAAGCTTTGAGGGTCACTATCCACATGCCTAAATCTGTGCTCAGCGTCAATCTCACAGCCTCTCAGGGGAATCACACGTATGACCTAACCACCAAGGTAAACAACCACCAACAAGACTTAATTAGCAACATATTGTTAAAAGAGACAAACTAGAAAGGGTGTCATTACACTGCTCAGTTTTGGTATCATTTTAAAGCTTCACTGCAGAGTTGCTTTGATCCTAATCACCTGCTAAATGCTCTACTTCAGTGGTTCTTCAGTGCAGACACGGTTGTTGTTCTCACTATGAGTACATCCCTTTTGGTAGGTACTGGTTTGGGACATTGGGAAACTCAACCCCCAGAAGCTCCCAAACCTGCGAGGCAGTCTGAGTATGCAGACTGGAGTCCCAAAACCAGAAGAGAACCCCTCAATCAACATAGATCTGAAGATACAGCAACTGGCCATATCAGGTAACTCTCAATGACCGGCTTGTTAACGAGTTTATGTTGTATTTTTACATCTGCACCGTGACTAAGGTGCAGCGGTCAGGTTAGACAGTCAACCCGAGGAGTCAGGGGTGTTAGAGCTGAGTGGAGGGTGCGCAGCTGCAGCCAGGTGAGAAGTAGAGGCTGCGCTTTGTTTCTAATCTGTGCACATTAAATAATGCAAGCAAGGAAAGGAGCGTCTGGAAAAAGGAAGGCAGATTTAATAAAAATAAAAATAAACAATTGGATGAAAGACTTATTTACTCTTAGTTATTTAAATTTTATAAATGGCTGGATAAAGGACTTGGATTTGTAATTACAGCATGGTTTTTACTTTGCAGTATTTTTTGTAGGAATGCGCAATACTATCGGCATGCATCAGCTGATATTAGCAATAAAGTTAAATATCGGACATCGGCCATTCCATCAAAATAACTCACCATATAAAAGGCGCTGTTTATATATATACACATATACATATATATGAATAAATAAAAGGCGCTGTTTTTGTATGACAACCCAGTGACAAGGATGTCTGCAGCACCAGCACAACGTTATGTCACGCGCACGCTTGAGTTTAGGTTTGTGAAAATTTACAAATTTGCACTGTTCGAGTGTTGTCATTGTGTTAGAGAGAGTAAATGTCATGAATAAATTTGACATTAAACATAATCCAAGATAAAGTGTTACATCATTTTCAGCCCCCTTTTTGGCATTTGTATTTGGTAGCAGGGCAAACTGACAGACCCTGTAGAATAATGTAGTATTTTAATTCCACTGTTATGTTCTTGGTCCCATTTAATGTTACGTCCTCAAAGGGCACAACATATTAAAGGAGGACACGGGACACCCATAAGGGGGTTCAAAATTAAATTTATTAAAAAAGACTGCTGCTTCCTGAAAAAAAAAATGGAAAAGACCAGGAATCCCCAGTTCCCGTGTCCACCAAATGACACAAAAAACCCAAAGTATTAACTTAAAGGAGGACCTGGTGAGCCGGCCAAACCAAACAAAAAGGTACAGCTGCAGGCCAACCCTGTACAGGGCTGTCGAAGCTGCTGCTGATACCAGACTAAAGCTACAAAAACACCTATTGCAAAAGAAAAGGGTGAAAACAGGACTACTGGTCCCACCAGGCCAAAATTATTACAAAAAAAATAAAAAAAACGTACAAAAAAGTTAAGAAAAATTACCTGTGGTGGCTGATGCCGCCTGCTGCAGGCCACAGCTCCAGGGTGAAGACAAAAAACAAGATGACAACAAAAGGCTTCAGAATAAAACAAGGGCAACAAAAAAAATAAAAATAAGTTTTAACATATCGGATATCGGTCAAAAATCCAATATGGTGCATCCATAATTTTTTGTCTTCTCGTGTCTAACGCAGCTTTTTTCTCCTTGGTGCAGGTCTCAAAGTGAACCGTCTCGACATGTATGGAGAGAAGTACAAACCGTTTAAAGGGGTCAAATATTTGACCAAAGCGGGAAAATTCCAAGTGCGGACCTGAGTAATGGTGCACAATCCGCACCATCGGATCTAATGTATCAAACGGATGACAAGGTTACCACACTCCTGAGTTATCTCTCTAATAAGTCTTACATATTTACAGGCACATTATTATAAATGACCACCTCTGCATTCTAACAGCTAATTTATTATACCAAATGCTGAGCATTTTAATGAGTGAACAATTCCGTGTCCTGTAAAGGGAAGCCTTAAAAGTTATTAAAGTGCTATTAGTGTATATTCATGTCTAAATATTTAACGTATAAAAACACCTGCAGCTCATGCCTTGCTTCTCTCTTGCACAATATTTCCTACACTTTGCCTGAAATTAGAAATGCCTTTGGAAAACAAACTCAAAATAAGAAAGAAAGTTATATATATATATATATTACAGGCACATTATTATAAATAAATATATATATATATATATATATGTCGATTTTTTGAAAGTATTGCCTTGTAAGTAGTTGCAGTTTTTTCTGCACACCCTTTAATGTTGCATCGATGGCACACTTTAAGGTGCTCTTTATAGCACACTACAGCACAAACTGCATGTTTAGGAGACTCAAGGGAAGGAAGTATTTTTAATACTATATCTCCTCGTCTGCTACTGAAGGTCCATGATGAATTTTGACATAGGAATGATCTGGTTACAAGTTAGGAAATCAGGTAGTCTGTTGGCACCTTTTAAAGCCTCGCATATTCTCAAGTGCAACTTTTTTTTTACTCGGTACAGCTTTGTCACAATCAGCTTTCAAAATGGGAAATACTAGTTAAAGCTTCTGTATGACGTTGAATCTGTATGTCATTTTACATCTTATAAAAGCTTTAATATCATGTTTTTGTGGCTATGATTTCAAATTTGTTCAAACAGATTCATTTTACTTCCATAATGATTTCTATTATATGCCTTTACACATATTGGGCTGTTTGACAGCTGACTCAAACTCAGTGATTTGTATAACCAGCTATGCCAAATATATATTGCTTTACTAAACAAACTGCATTCTCTTCTTCTCTGTTCTTTCAAACATCAATTTAGAAATTGTTAGATGTAAAAATGTGTGAATGCTGAGTCCTGACTTCCCTGAAGAATCTAAACCTGAGCTGGTAAAGCTAATACAAAGCAGAACATTAAGGTAAAAAGAGCAACAAAACTAGCTAAAGGTGGGAAAGAATGGGTAAAAGCTAAAAGTAACAACTGGAGAAAAATAAACTAGAGCAAATATTTTGAAGCAGATCTCCAAGAGAAACATGGTTTTGAAGGAGGTAAATAAATCACTGTATACCTTTTGAGGAAATACTTGTAAATATACAGTAGTAAAATATATTTTTAAAAGTTTAAATTATCGTATTTTTTGGACTATAAGGCGCATTAAGCAAAACAAAACAGATAAGTCAAACTATTCAACTCATTCACAACATTGTTCAGTTGTACCAGATAAAATTGGTTCGAGGTCACTAAGCACAACCAGAATGAATCCATAAGGCGCACTGGATTATAAGGCTCGCCATGGATTTTTGAGAAAATTAAAGGATTTTAAGTTTGCCTTATAGTCTGAAAAATACGGTACAAAAATCATAGGACCCATCTCCCAAATGAGCTGAATGTTTTGATATATGAATGGCTAAAGCAGTTAGATTGCAATAAATGTCTGAGAAATAAACAAAACGGGAAAACCATAAAGTGAAAGCTGAATAAGCAAATGCTAAATTCTAATGAAAATTTTTATTTATCTATTGGTAGTTTTATTAAACAGTTTGCCGAAGAAAAAAAAAAGTTCAGAAACCTCTAAGACTTGTTTTAGGGCAGCAGTAGTCCACTTTGGTTTGGACTAGCTGTTAATAGTAATGAGCACTTTAAGCAAAAACACTTTAACTTGGACAAAAACACAATTTTCCATTGAATATCTGACTCTCCACAATGTCGTCCATTTAAATTAAAAAGCAGACTCCAGTTTTTATTATAATCTTTATTTTTCCAAGGCACAGCAGATGTGTTGGCAGGGCTAGAGGCTTTCCGGATACACTCGGTGTGAATTAAACAAAGTACATACAGCTCTACGCCCTGCTGAGGGGCCTGCAATCGCTGCAGGCCCAGCAAATAAAAGAAAAACCGGTACCGTCCCGTGCTTAAGAGCTTTGTCCTTAAACATCACAAAGACTGCTCACAAATACTGATTAAGTAAAGAGACTACACACTCAGAGCCTCGATGTAATCATTGACTTGCTCGTCATAAAAAGCAAAATCTCATAAAGGAATAAAAAAATGCATTCACTGGTCTGGTTGTAGGTATATATGTGACACAAATTATTTTTAAATTCTAACCTAACACTTTTATTTTTTTATTTAAACAGGAAAAAGTTATGTGTATCAATTATATCTGCCTGTTAATTTAAAACCACCGGGGTCATTAAAAAAAAAAATCTGTTGAATTGGAGCGTTCAAACTGAGGCTGCTTAGAAAAAAAAAAAAAAGTCTAAAATCTGGATGTTGACGGGCTGCTAAAATGTCTGAGAAATCACAAACAGTTCAACTGTTATACGGCAAATTAAAAAAAAAACAGAAGCAGAAAACATTCACATATTTTTTGTTATAAAACATAAAAACGGGATTACAATTTCCTAAAGAAAATCTGCATTGTTGCTTGTCATAACCTGATTTTTGAGCGTTAAGCAAGAGAACTTAATGAGGTTTACAGTGAAATAAAATCCATCTTTTGGCATCGTTCACTGGTAAAGTTCAAGAAAACAAAAATATAGAATTAAAAACACGTTAAAACCTAAACTTCACTGCCGCTCAAACCAACACCGCCATTCTTTAAGCTATTGTTTTTCTGTAATCAAAGAAAAACTGTGATTTTATACTTAAGTATAAATATCAGTAATAGTAATATCTGCTTTGAATTTTCGGTTTTATTATTAAAAGTAAACATGAAGAGAGCGGAGCTCATGGGCTCGCGCCAGACTCTACATTTTAGTGTCAAACTTTGTGACTAAAGCTGAAAATGTGTCTATAAAACTTTATTTTTATTTTTATATACAACATACAATAAAAACTACAGCTGAAAAATCAATTCAAAGTAAACATCTAGCAGGTAAATGTCTCAATGGCAGACTTTACCTTTAGAAGATAGAAAATAAAACATGCGAAAAAATATATACCTAAGATTTAGATAAAGTTTTTGTGACACAACATACCAAAAAATATATTAAAACTTGTCTCCGATCAGCGTGTGGGAGGTCACAGCTGCACATGAAGGAGAGCAGAGCACCTATAAATCAAACCTGCATTGTGCTGAATTTGATGGTTCCTGGTGGTAAAACCCAAACTACGACGGAGAATGGCTCAAAATCCTGCAGCTTCTCGATGCGCTCACTCGTCACGAGGGTGCACATTGCTACATTTTACTGACACCAGCGTCGGCGTGTTGGATTCCGTGTTCATTGGTACCAGGGGGTCTTCCGCACCCATCGCAGGGTGAATCCTGCATCCGTGCGGATCTTGATGGACGCTGCCTCGGCTTCTCTGACCGTCTCCTTTACCGACTGCATCAGATTCTGGGCGTTATGGACCAGCATCTCTGTGGCCTGGTCAGAGAAATCATGAAAAAGTAAACGGAAAGTTCAAGATTTTTTAAATAGTTCATTTTATTTTAGATGAAAAGATGGATATGCTTTAATGTAAATAAAATGTAAACATGATGGAGCGAGGAGCAGCTGCTCTTTTGTTTCAGGTGAGTCAAACAAAGCAGATATGCAGATTTGATTAAGTCATTAAGTAAAAGTGGTAAAGTCCAGACCACAATCAAAACATTTGTCTGATTTTTTTTTTTTCTTTGTGCAAGAAAAACCTTGTTTTCTCCACGTGAACTCAGGCTTTGAAACACTTTACAGCTTTTACAGTTATAGTTATTAACTAAAGTTACAGGAAAAAAAAAACCAACCTAAAATCAAAATAGTGCCTTTTTAAAATAAAAGCACCACCAGAAGCACATTTTTAAAAATCACAAGCATAGCCGTAGGAAAAAGTTGCAGTTGGTGAGTGCAGTGAGCATCTAAAAAAATGGTAAAAGTCATATACCTATATGAGGACTATCATAATACCAAATATATGCAATATACAATAATGCTGGCAAATTTGGACAAACTATAAAATGTAAAACTGCAACCATGATCAACGGCTGAGTGCCCAATTTTTTTGTGTGTTTAAAGTGGTAAATTGTTACACACAGATATAAAATAACAGTGCAGATTTTCAAAACTCAATAATAGCCCAATAGTTCTGCAATTTAAACATATGCACAAATGATATGCGTTTTATTCAATTTGTGATTTTTTTTATTTTTATTTACCATTTAGACATGCATGTCCTCTGGCATCCATCTGGGGGTGCTGCAGCACCCTCTGCACCACTGTCCTTTTTATTTTTAGGGCTGTTGGTCGATTAATTAAAAAACAACTAATTAATCCCAAATCTGTTTTTTTTTTTAATCGATCGTGATTAATTGTGATCAAACACTTTTCAAGGCAACTTGTAATAAAGACGGATTCATTCATCAGTTAAGTCATTATTACTTTTATTGTTTTGTTTTTACTTAGACACAGTGTTTAAAAGCTTTGAAATAAAATTTGCAAATAAAATGCAGAACAGAACTAAAATGCATTGCAAACCTCGATTGAAACTGAAACTAGATTGAAACTAGATTTCTCCGCTATGTAAAATAATTTATTGTGTGGGCACATTACCATATTTTTCAGACTATAAGGCGCATTTTAAATCTTCTAATTTTCTCAAAAAATGACAGTGAGCCTTATAATCCGGTGCACCTTGTGTATTAATTCTGGTTGCGTTTACTGACCTCGAACTGATTTTATGTGGTTATTCTGAATGAGTTGAATAAAGTTTGACTTATCTGTCTGTTTTGTTTTTCTTAATGCGCCTTATAATCTGGTGCATCTTAAGTATGAAAACAGACCCGTTCATTGATATTGCACCTTATTAGCCGGTGCTCCTTATAGTATAAAAAATAGATTAGTTTGCCGTAGTAACTCGCATTTACTGAGCTGTCCAAAACTGTTCAGTTACAACAGCATTTGAATTGCTCTTTCAAACTGGTCACACAATCTAAACGCTTGCTCTGTAATGGATTTAAACAATATTTTTAGTTTTCTCTGTGAACTAAAGGATAATCTAGTTTATAAAACACAATTCCAGTAAGTTCACTTATTTGCTTGTTTAAAATATGGGAGTTAAAAAGAACTTTTTCATTAAGCCAAGATTACACTCACAGAGTTGTTAAAACGATTCAGGCTTTGGCCATAAACTGATCTTTTAATATTATTTCCTCAAACCTGAAGTTTTGGAAGATCAGTTTTAAGCAGATGCAGATGTTTTGTCTCATGCAGTTTAACGCTCGGAGCGCCACACACTCCAGTTTTGAATTAAGAAAACTTTCAGATGGGAATCAAAATGTCTTCAATTACAGACTAGAAGTCCAGCTGCTTTTTATTTTTTGTATTTATATTTTTATTTTTAACTTTTTGGACCAAATGTTTTGCCCTGAGGAATCCATGTCAATGGATGAATTGTAGGTGTGTTTAGTGTTACCTGCTCCGACTCCTCTTCACTAATGTTTGTTCGTCCCAGCATGGTGGCTTTGACTGTAGACAGGATCTTCAGCTGAGTGCTGATGGTAGGAATTCGTTCACAGACCTAGAGAAAATGTAATAAAAAAACAAGACAAGTGTCTAAGAATGTTATATAAAAACAGACATTAAGTCACTTGAATGTATTTTATGTCATTAGTTTCAGTTTAAAACAGTAAATTGTGGTTAACCTGCAGCAGGTTAGTCCTGATGCGTCTGTCCGTACACTGCTTGGCCACTTCTTTAGCCAACCTCGTCACCTCATCGGAGGCCTTGGCGATGTCCTTGGCGCACTGAATCAGCGCTCGTTTGTTTCCGCTCCCGCCGCGCACAAGGCGAGACATCTCAGCCATCAGCAGAGCCATTCTCTTGGCTGCTGCGATGATGTCGTTACCCTGTGCAGGTGGAGTTAAAAGTGACGCAGTAAGAGCTGCGATCTGATGAACACGGCTTGGAATAAGAAAACAATCTGTGTGAAGCATGTTTCTGCACAACAACCAATTGTAAGATTTATCAAATGCTGAGGTGATACATTTGATTTGCAAAAATGAAGCAAGCATTAAAGGTTGAGGTGTTTGGCAGCCAGCTGCGTGCAGTGTCACAGCAAGTTATGTTCCTCAGAGCTCACTTCTGAAGATCTTAAACATCACAGATGACCTGGAGTTAGTCCTATGAGGTGATGCCACTGCATTGAGGTGATTAGTGCACATTTGAGCTGAAGCAGGCACCAGGTTAGCAGGCAGGCTAATGTTAAAGCTGCATCACCCAGGAGTCTTTAGGAAACTGTCATCCTCGGCTTCACAGGTTGAGCAGAAACCAGTGACTGACAACCGAGGCAACAGGACGACAGAGAGCCTGGCTCCACTTTGGAACCATTTTCCTTATCGTGCATAAAGGGACCTGTGAAGCCAGCCAGTGCCAGTTTGTGGTGCAACAAACAAACTTGCCATTCTCATGGCCCTTGACCTTCAGCGCAACTTTAGCATCATTATAACCACGTGTCAACCTCATCTGCAGCAACAGTGAAACAGCTGCTACAGCTGGTCGGAGGTTTCCAGTTTCCACGGCAGTGACAGACGCAGTTTTCATTCACTTCATTTTGTGTTTCTTCTCCTGAAACAGCAGTGGTGCATTCATCTGTTTGCATGCGTGCATGTGAGTTTGTGTCGAGTCAAACAGCTGTGAACCCCGTGTGTGCATGCTCATGTTTATGTACGTGTGCAGACCTTGCTGGACCACTTGCGAGCCTCCTGGTGGAGAGACTGGGCAGCTGCCAGAATGGGCTGATTGACTGGCTGGTTGGACGGCATCATCAGCAGTTCTGGCTCATAGTCATCCTCACCATCAGTAAACTCATCTTCATCATCTACCTCCCTCTCCTCTACTGCCTCCTCATCCTCAGGCTGGGCCAGCCAGGGGGGTGGGGTAAGACGGGGATGGGGGATTGTTGGTGGTGGTTGGAAGAGCAGGATTGATAAGAGGAGTAAAGAAAAGAAGGAAGAGGGGGAGAAAAAAGGAGGAGAAAGCCGGGGATGGTAGGTGGAAAGGAAGCATTTAGTACACTATGACAAGCACTGAATGGAAGAACAGAAAACAGGAGATTTGCAGGAGGGAGGAGAAGCTTTTGGGGGGGGGGAGGAAGAATTGAAGATGGGTGACAGGTGAAACTGCACGCAAGGGTACAACCAGCTTTAATGGTGAAAAAAAGAAGAAAGAGGAGTTGGTTTGGGAAGGCAGTAGTTGCATAATGTGCCTGAGGTGATGTCTGACACAACATAAGGGTGAACTGTAAGCAAAACTTCAGCTGGTGTTTCTCTGGTGCAGTTAGGAGAGTTTCAGTAGGACTATGTTTTGTGTCTGTTTCGAAAAACTTTTTTATTCTGTATATTAGATTAAAAAATGGAAAACAATTATCAAAATACGGCATTATTTATGGATATTCAGTAACTAATTAGCCCTAGATACACAAGGTCCTCTGCAAATTGATTTGATTTTTTACTATGCTTGAAAATGTAGAGTATCTCATGTCAGGTATGTTATTATTGTCATGCATGTAACTGTTTGTGTGTGTGAGGACCATAAACATTACAGGCCTTTTATTTAAGCAGATGACAGTTTCCAGTTTTCTTCTGAAAGTGGAATCGAGACACTGATGTCCACATTTCGGGATTAAAAATAAATGAAATTTTCTCAGAATACAAGATACATCAATGTCCTGCAAGAGTGTCTGAAGAGCTGAAACAGTCCTAAAATATGACACACACGTCTGAGCTAAAAAGTCAAGTTAAAACTTCAGTTTTTGTATGAACTGACCTTGCTGGACCACTTGCGTGCCTCGTCATGCAGCTGCCTGGCTGCCACCATCATGGGCTCACTGACAACCTCGCCAGCCTTCTGTTCCGGGAACTCCTCATCCTTTTCCTCTGGAGGCGGGGGCCGAGGAGGTGGCACCTCGCTTTCTGGCAAAGGGGGCTTTGGTGGCACTTGCTCATCACTGACCTGGAAAATGTGGTAAACTGTGATGAACTGAGGTTTGTATGGTATTAAGTATTTTTGAGCAATATGATTTTAAGAAGAGCCCGGGATTAGTTTTACCTAGGGACCACATGTAATAAATAAATTACTCCCCAACGTCTGCTTTTTATGTGGCGCATTTGCACGGGATAACCAAAGCCTGAGATTTAGCTGAAATGTACGGACATCTTCCGGATTTGATGTTAACGTGCTGCGTTGTCACGGCCGGGCCGATCCATAATAATGTACGGGTGGGGCCGGTCCATATTAATGTGCGGGCCAGGCCAGTCTCGAGCTTTGATGCGGTTTTACGACTCATACAGCACAAAGAAAATGAAACAAGAATGCACAATATAAAATTGTGTTAATCTACTTGTTGAGGAGGAGGCAGGTCCAACCAGCTGGTTGAAAGAAGTAAAAAAAAGTTGCGTTAAGCTCAGATAGACAACCTGTCACCGGCTGTACATGTCCGCTGACCCGCCAGTTGAAACAGACTTGTGATCTGTCCAGGGTGTACCCCACCTCTCGCACAGTGATGGCTTGACATGGGCACCAATGACTCCCGCTACCCAAAAAGGAAGAAGCGGGTAAATATAATGGATGGATGGATGGGTCAGCCAATCACCAGCTTTGCGCGTCTCTGCACCTGCTGTCATCTGCGGTGAAGGAAGTAGCGTCTACAAAAGCCGAAGCAAGCAGTGTGTTCAATTAAAATAGCCTCGTTCTATATTTTTCCAAATGATTTTGCTTAGAAAACAAAAACCGCCGCATTATGTATCGGATCCCGCCCATTTCTGTCCAACCCACAAAGATGCCTTGGATTAATTGGATTAATATTATCACAGGACCTCGGAGTTCAGCAAAATATAGTAGGTAATTTGCGGGTGGAATTTTTACTTTACAAATTACTGACATGGTCGATTCGCTCGGGATTAACAACACAGACAATCTCTGTAATTATTACAAATAGCATGTGGTCCCTAGGTAAAACTAATCCCATGTTAATAGGGCTAAGAACTGAAATAACTTTGGTGCTATGACACTGAGAAGTTTCAGTTTATGGTCTTAGGTGCTTGTTAGATAATTAGGGTCACAAGTATTATAAACGGGCTTACGTGGAGCTGGTCCAGGTCAGGAGGAGGAGGAGGGAAGTCTGGTTCCTGAGGCTGGAAGGCTTCTCTAACTTTTCCAACTGCAGCCAGAATTCTCAGACATGAGTCCAAGTATGCTTTCTGTAAAGCTGTGGACAGGAAAGTAAAACAAAGGGAGATACAACAGTAAACAAAAGGTAATGGTGGTTCATCGTACAGCATCCTGAAATCTGCACCTTTATCTTGTATGTTCCCAGCCACCGCCTTGGCATCCATCACCATGGGGGAGATGGTGTGTGAGAGGATGTCCGAGGCATGTTTCACAGTGTCTCTGAACCGTGGATCTTCAGAGTTATCTACTTCTCTCTTGGCCACCAACAAGACCCGATTAGCTCGTCTTGCTATGCTTGTTGCCCCGGCAACAAGCATTTGGGGCTGAACATTGGCCATGGCAACTCGACACTTGTCAATGTCTTTCTTTATGGCCTCTTCAGAAGCATCTAATAGAGATTTGGTGTCTATGGCTTCATCAACCAGACCTGAGGATAAAAAACACACAGATTAATCCTTTGAACTCCCCAACAACTTCAGTGAAAGTACTTGTTGCCAGTTGAACCTTTGATTCCTCACCAGTCAGTCTTTCCACATTGTCAATCCACTGGTTCTTCATGGTGTCAAAGTGCTCATATGCTGCTTTGTTACCAGGATTCTTCAACAAGATCTGAGCAGCAGAGGTCACCTGGACAAGCACGCCACACTCAAGTTCATTTTGACACCCATATGCTTTATCTGCTTATGTCATGCAATTCAGGTGTACCTGTGGTGTCAGCTCCCTGGCATGTTTCACAGCAGCATGAATGCCCTCTACTGTGCTTTTATTACCCGTTCCCACAGCGGCAGCCTTCTCTGCGGTCGCTCCCAACCGGCCTGCGTGGGTCTCAAAGTTCCCTGCACGCTCCTCAAAAACCTATGTCAAGCATGCATATTGTTAGGTACATAAACATTACAAACTCTTACACTAAAAACATCTGGTGTAACTGGGAATTTGTATGCTACTGGCCTCCTCTCTGTTTGGGGCATCAGGAGGAGCAGTTGCAGCCACTGCCAGCAGCTTGATGGGTGTGGTGGTGTCACTGAAAACATCTGACACCTCCTGGGTCATCACCTCCTGCATGTGCTGCCTCAAGTCCTGGGAGAAGAGGAGAATGGTGAGTCTTTCCACTAGGTGAAACTATACACCAGCGGTTTTGTACTCAAAAATCTGGTATCGTAATCACTGAGTCATCCATAATTCTTCCTCCAAGTGTTTACTGATCCCCAGACATTGGTCTTTAAAGCTTTTCCATTAACTAGTGGAGTGAATCTCAAGTGTTCCTTTATTAAAGAATCATTTTGTAACATTCAGAGATACCTTGAGGGTGTCCTGCAACTGTGCAGCTGTAGCACGTGCGTGAGGAGCCTCAGCCTCCCCTCTGCTTGCCATGTCTGCCAAAGCATTCATCAGTGCTTCTGTTCGGTCGCAGCGCCCAACCATGTCCTGTCGATATGGGCCTAACAAGCCTCCTGCCAGCCTCTTCCCTTCCCCAACCATCCCTCTGATTGCTGCCTGACCTGTAGAGAGAAACAAGAATGAGATTCCACCACATCTAGATACTGAATATCTTCTCAGGGTTCAATAAAACCTCAAATACTCAGACATATTCTGGATTTTTTTACTTTTTTCTTCTAAATTAAAAAAGTGGATGCTGCATTATATACGTGGTTTGGTTTCATCCCCTAAAGCAGCAGTGAGCAGGTACCTGTGATCCACTGTAGCCTCTCGCATTCTGCTCCCATATGGAAGCATGGCAGAAGAGAGGAAACAAATGACAAAAAAGGAAGACAACACAACGAAGCATTCAAATAATGTTTCTAGGGAGAAAAGCAAGTCATTCAGTGATTCATGCATAAGATTTATCTCCATCTTGCATTATCATTTTTGTCTAATTTAGAAATGATCAATAACTGCTATGTTTTGACAACTTCATCCCCGTAGGCTCACAAAAGTAAGGTATATATCATTCCTTACAGCTGCTGTTCTCTGCTCACCTACACCTCTGTCATCCACCCCTGGGTTGTTCACCCAGCGGAGGGCCTGCTCCATCTTCCCCTCCAAAGTGACAGCAGGTTTTGCTGGTCTCATGTTGGCCACGGCCCGATTGGTTTTGGACTGCAGGGTAAGAAGCGCTGCTCCGATCTGCTTTGCCAGAGCGCGGGCCTCTGGGCTGTCGCCTTTACCCCTGAGACAATAATAGAAAAGGAGGTGAGTAGAGATGAAGACCAAAAGCAGTTGAAGGCTTTGTGGACAAAATGTTAGTGCATAAATAAGGCTTTTAAACCCGTCACCTGGTTAACATCAGATTGCACTCCAGTTAGATAGCACCTTAAAAGGGAAATACCATTTTTTATGACAATTATAAACTAAGATTATGTAAGAGCATTGTGTTCTCTTTTACAGACAGGAAAGTAAAACTATTAAAACATATTTCTGTTTGGAATAAAGAGAAATAATGAAATATATCAGAAACATAAATGTAGGAATTTGGGGTCCTCTATTTGTTTTTGTTTTTTTCTGCACTCGCTCTCGTGCAAGGCGGATGCCTTCTCTCCCTTTCCTGTTCTCCTCCTGCTTTTGTTGCTCTCTGTCTGTGTATCGGAGCTCCTATTACACATCTTCTGGAATGAAAACTGCTGTCATGGATCTGGTCATCTGGACTTTCAACGCAATCGACAAAATCTTTTCAACAAAGCGACAGTGTCCTGGAGAGCCCTCATGCCCTGCTGAGACTCACGCGGCATAATACGTTATGAATCCATGGGGAGTTTGGGAGCTGATGTGTTTTTTCCGTTTTGTCTCTGGAGGATGCCGAAGATGTTTATATGATTGGATTCATGATAGGGTTTCTGCTTTCTGGCATTGGCGGATTCCTATGTTATCGGCTATTAAGGAAGACAGTGGCAGCAGTTTCGGCAATGGCAAAACGGCTGAGTCTTTGTGAAGGTTTGGTTCAAGCCTTGAGTACTCAAAATCAGCTGATTTACGAGCTAAACCGTAAGATGAAAGCAATTTGTGAGTATTGCAGGCCATCTGCGGTTTCTGGGACTCGCCAGCATGTAGCATGTTGGAGATGACCTTGGAGGAGGCTCATAAGCACAGACCAACGGAATGTCCACTTATCTGGCCATTTTGGATCTTGAAAGTACCAACAAGACTCAAGGCTGACAAGAAAAAACAGTCTGCCTGAAAAAAATCAACAATTGTGGCTTATCTGAATCTGACTGTTGGCCTCGAAAACAGGCCGACATCAAAGTTCTCCTGGGATATGTGCAAAATAAGGAAAAGTTTTGTCTATTCGCACCCCCCTGAAAACTTCTGTGAAGGCTTATCAGAGCTGTGCCAGCTGACCAACATCTTATCAAGACTATGGTCTCTGTGGAAGTGCTTCATGGACAAATCTCACCGTCTTGCCATCAAATGCATATGTAATGTCTTCATAAATATGCTTGCTGGTAGTTTTTTGATGTCTTAAGTCATGTCCTGTTAGGACAAGGTGTGAAGAGATCTCCTGATGCATGCTCAATAATCCAATCCAATAATCCAAGAGATCTTTTATTGTAATTTCACTATCCTATTCGCATGGCTTTTTCTCCTTTTCTATCTAAAAAAGTATTCTGAAAAAGGATAAGGGGCTGCACTCCAGTAGCAGCAGCAACGTGCACTCCGCCCATCTTTCGGATGACTGTACAAACATAATTTCACTATATTTCGGTACAATGATAATAAAGCTTATTCTGATTCTACATTTAGTTCCTCAAAGAAGCACACAGAGGTTGTGCACCTTTTAAGCCACATGTTGTTCTTTTGTTTTTTTTCTGTTCCAGATTGCAAAAAAAAGCTTGATAAATCCCCACAATAGACGAGCATTACTTTATTTCTTTTTCATTTGAAATGTAGATCCATACTTTTGGATGGATCTGAAGAGCTTTCTTATTTTGAATACTACAGAAAATTAAAAATTCATACAGTGATTGTTTTCCCCTTGCTGGTAAATCACTGCAAGATCTATATATGGGAGGAGTCGAAAAGGGACAGGACGACCCTCAGAAACCATCTTAGCTCCAGCAAACTGGTTGGTTCACTTAAGGAGTTTACTGCTTGGTGGGGAAACAGTTTACTGGAACTCCTCTGACTGACGAAGCCCTCCGGATAGAGGGCGAAACGTCTATAAAAAAGAAACTGTCCAGATGACCCGACTGAGAATTATTGGATTTTTATATATATATATATTTCAGCTTGTGTTTTATTAGGTGGTATTTCCCTTTAAATTCTCCCCAGATTTATTCCTACACCTTCCATCAAACCTGCATTCAAACAGCACCCCATATTTAAACTCTTAGGAACCTTATTGTAGGAGTGATGCCCAGTGGTGACCGGCAACAACATAATTTCCAGATAGGTATAGAAAGCCACCTATTGGTGACTTGCGGATGCAGTCTGAGCCTAGAAGAAAAGGACCTAAGAATGAAGCATTTGCAAAGCACTTTTGTTGATGCATGTGTTAGAGTAAAAGCAGCATACTGTTTGCGTAGCTCTACGAGCCGGGCAGTGAGTCCTGCAATCTCATTTATGGAGCGCAGGATGTCGTCTCGCTCTTTGGGGTCTTCACAAAGGTCAGCGATGCGTTTGGCCTCAGCAAGCAGGGCTCTGATGTTCTCCTCTCCTTCAGGACCACCATTAGGATCGGCCAGCCATGCCTACAACAACAAGGGTATGATATAATTTATACCTGGTGAATAAATATATGTGCTTCTAAGATTAAAGACAAAGAGCAAGACATAAAAACAAAAATGAAGAATAGCTTGAGGAGGAGCCGTTCATGGATTACTGTGATGTTTTATTTTTCAATTATGTCTCTGACCTGTGCAGCATCCAGCCTTCTAGCAATGGCCTGCTTGGCATTGATTAGAGCTTCCAGCCTGTGAGCAGCACTGTCCACTTTGCCAAAAAGCAAATCTAAGCCCTGTGAGCACTGGCCTGCACGTTGAACGCACCCTGGTGTTGGACCCTGGCCCCTGTTGGAGACAAGAAACACAATAAACTGAAGTATGAGAACAAAATAACTTGCATGCAGTGAAGGAAAAAGTGTGTGCAAACATGCCACCTGGCTCGTAGATCTGCAATCTGGTCCGTCATCTGTCCCAGAGCTTTAGTGGTCGCCAGTATGTCTTTTCTCTCCTTCCCAGCACACAGCTCTCCCACCTTACCAGCTTCGTCCAGGATCACACGCAACGCCACCTCGCCAGGGTCTCCTGAGGACGACGGCATGCCGCAGTGTGAGATGGATGGATAGAATAACACAAAGTGCTGATATCAGATGAAGGCTAGACAGGCAGCACACAGAGCTACCTGGCTGTCCATGAGGGTCTTTGAGCCAGCTTTTAGCTTGTCCCAACTTTGACTCAATCAAAGCCAGAGATCTCTTCAAAGCCTCCATATCCTGATGTCGAGAGAAACAAAAGAACATTTTAATTTTATTTTTTGAACAACAGAACATTTCTCCTTCAGTTAAAATATAAGAGTTCAGTTTTAATTGACTACTTTGTGTTTAGTTGGTCTCAAACTGAACTAAAGTAAAACTTAGCTCTTTACAATGTTTAAACTGATAAAAGTCTATACATCTTCATATATAACGTTTATTATTTTACAGTGATCCATAACTATTTGTTTCACTCTGTTTCCAGTCACTGTAAAATGTAGAAAATAAATTGCAATTATTTGCAACTTTAATCTGCCTCATATAATCTGATCTTTGTCTCTTTTAAACCAACTCAAGCCTCACAAAGACATGGCAGGAATTTTGCATTTTTATACATTTAATATGCATAAAATTTTAGCTTCACTTCTTTGTTGTATTTGTTTAACACATCCGCCCTTTACACGTGTATGTATATATTTATATTTTCTAAATATTTAGATGTATTTTCTTGATTTCTTTTTCGGGTTTCTCTTGTAAATGAGTCCCCGTGGCTCAATGGGATTAACCTGCATAAATAAAGGTTGAATGGAAAAAACA